TTCAGTTTGCACCCCCGCCACAGCAGACTTGACATAGTGGTTGCCCAACCCAGCCTGTCTTGTGCTGTGCACATTGATTTGTAAGGTCCCCTCAGTCTGTGCTATCCCTCTGCCTGTCTCAGACTGCCCAGAGCCTGTGAATTGTCCTGCTCCAGCTCTGGCACTCACTCTTGTCTGAAGTCCTCCTTGGTCTGCCCATCAGAAGCACTTTCCTGCCCCCACTCTCTGTTCCCATCACACGTTGTTTACCCCAGCATTGAGCTGAAATCCTCTCTGCAGTGGGCACTGTAATTAGTTATTTAGTTTGGAGACCTAGTTGTCCTAGCACCATTTTTTTCCCATTTATTTTTATTATTATTTATTTTTCCTTTACTGAGTTAATAAGTGTCTACCCTCTCCTTAGTGGTTTATCCTCCCTTCCCCATCCACCCTGGTAACCATCAAAGAATATTTCTTTTTTGTGAAACCCTTTCTTGACATTTTACAATAGTGGTCTCATACGATATTTGTCATTTTGTGATTGACTAACTTCACTCAGTGTAAGGGACTCTCAGTTCATCCATGTGAGGAGATGTTTCACAGATTCTTCATTGTTCTGTATGTAACGTAGTTTGTTGATCTCCATTAATGGGCATTTAGTCTGTTTTTGTCTTTTTGCTGTTGTGAATAGTGCTACAATGAACATGAGTTGCGCTGTGTACTTTAAGTATTTATAAATGCAAATATGTTTTGTTTTGGCTCTCCAGTGCTGCACTAACAGACATACCACAAGTGGGTGGCTTCAACAGAGATTTATTCTCTTACAGTTCAGAGGGCTAGAAGTCCAAGTTAAAGTGCCAGCTCTATGGGCTGGGTGAAGGCTCCTCGACCTTGGGCTTCAGCTCTGCCTCTTGCTTCCAGCCCACTGAAGCTGGAGGCATCTTTTCACTCAGGCAGCAGCTGGCTGGTAAGGCTGACAAACCCAAAGTTGACAAGTAAAATGGCACAGTCCCAAGATTATCAAGCAACATGGCAGGCCACTAGTTCAAGTCCAGAAACAATCCCAAGATTGGCAGAAACATGGCAGGCCACTCAGTGATGACTCGGCCAAATGTTGGATACAGATGAGCCAAGAAGTTCAAGACCTTTCTCAAAGTGTCTTCTTGTATATTGGAAGCAGACCACATCCCTAAGGCAGCTACTCAGTTGCTCACAGCAGATTCCCCCATGGAGTTGATTAGCAGCTGGTGGGTTCAAACCACCGACCTTTTGGTTAGCAGCCAAATGCTTTAATCAGTGCACTGCCATAAGTCCTAAAGTAAGGTCAGGGTACTGTTAGACGGGGTGATTGGAGAAGCCTCTCCTGAGTTGCTGTTCTCTAGTGCTGCTGTAACAGAAACACCACAGGCAGGTGGCTTTAACAAACAGAAATGGGGCATGGCAGCCATCTTCCCCCACGTGTGCTTATTCATATCTCAGAAGAGACTGACTTAAGACACACCCTATATCAATACTTCCTCGTTAACATAACAAAATGTGTATTCTAAGAATGATCCCTGATGGATTATAACCACAGGTGTTGAGGTCAGGATTTGTAGGGATACCATTTAATCCATGACCAGGAACATTGGAGCAGATGCAAACCTTGGGGAAGGATGCACTCCGCAAAGCACTGGTGGAATGTTGTTTCACGGAGAAGTCAGACAGAGGTGCACGTGGACCACATATAGGCTGAGCGTGGAATCATTAAAGAAAGGGAAATGTGGGTGGAGCACAGTGGCAATGGTGGAATGGTGTGAGATGAAGCCAGAGGGAGGTTACGACCAGAGAGTGGAGGTGGACGTAAGACGTCTGGGTTGAAAAATCTGCTGTGTTTGCATGCAGAGAACCAAACATATTACCTGAAATCATAGAACTGGCTACATAAGAGCATTCTGCGTATACGAAGCATGCCGGTATGGTCATTCTTCATGAATTCTTTGGTAACCTCAGTGTGGTGATTACTTAGTTGACCTTTGGAGTCATCTGCTGCCCTCCACAGGAGCTTTGGTGGCATAGTGCCTAAGGCATGTGACTGGTAACTAGAAGGCTGGTGGTTCAAACCTACCAGCCACTCCTCAGAAGGAAGGTTGGACAGTCTACTTCCATAGAGATACCGCTTGAGAAACCCAAGGAGGGCTCGCTATGAGTCAGGACCGACTCGATGGCAGGGAGTTTGGTTTTTGGTTTGCTGCCCTCCACAGGACCTTGCTCAGTGTTCCTGGTATTTCTCACTCCTCTTTCCTTCCACATCTCAATCCATTGAGACAGGTGCTTGTTGGATCTCGTCTTCAGCCATCAGTGACCTGGTCAGCTTTCCTGGCAATCCAGTGCACGTTGTACAGTTACCTGGCGCTTGTTACACTTTCTCTGACCCTGGGTTTTTGAGAGATTTAATCAGGGGATGCGGGAATATAATAGAGTAATCAAATCCCCAAACTTGAGAGTTGAAAGAAAGGAAATAGGACAAATGGCATTTATGGGGGGCCCACAGTACATCAGATAATTTGCTTGGTGCTTTTATACATTATCCCATCAGGTCTTCATAAGCCTGTGAGCTTCTTACTAGTTCTACTTCTTAGACAAGGCCACAGGCTCAGGGGGGTTAACTTGTCCAAGGTCACTCACTCCAAAGTCTAGTTTTTCCATTTAAGACTGTGCAGCCGAGTGGTTAAGAGTCCTGATGAACCAGCATTCAAGGTTGCCAAAAGAAGACATACTTACTCTGTGCTGGTGCTTGGGACTAATGCTTTACTCGCATGGAGAAGGGAGTGAGGTCATTTTCACCTGGGCACCATCTCCCATGGCTGCCGGGTGCCCTGAATGGCCAGTGCAGGGCAGATGCTCTGTGTGTACCCCTCTTGTGCCATAGACCCCACGGGAACAGTTGCAGAAGTGGGGTTGGCTAAATACCTTATTGTGCCCACATACATGCAAGAAACAGAGTTCTTTTGTTCCCAGAACAGGGGGATGGCTTCCCTGACAAGAAGGATCTGGGGGAGAGAGGCAGAGAGAGAGACCCACTTCCCAGCCTCCTTATCTGAGATGTCCTGGGTCCAGGGCTTCTGCTGTTGCTGCCCGGATGGGATTGCATACAGGCAGACCATTCCCCCAATAGTATTTTCCTAGTAGAGTTAGTAAGAGGATTAAGTAGTTAATATAGAGAAAGTAGGAGCCCTGTTGGCCCATTGGTTAAATGCTTGGCTGTTAACCACAAGGTCAGCAGTTTGAACATACCAGGAGTGGTCCACTCTATAAAGCTCACAGCCTAGGAAACCCTATGGAGCAGCTCTTCTCTGTGACACAGGTTCACTGTGAGTCAGAATCAACTCGATGGCACCCAGCACCCCCACCTCTGCCTGGCTTCTGGCAGTGAGCACTAAGTATGTGTGTGTGTTTTCCACCATGGCACACAGTTGTTTAGAAACCTTAGAGTGCGTATAACATGGCACGGCTTTGCTGTGAGAGAAAAGTGAAGTCCAAAGAAGTGATTTGGGCAAACCACAAAATCATTCAGGGGCAGAGGCGAGATGTCTACACTGCAGTTACCTGCTGCACAGAGTTTTTGTTCCTTGTGCGTGTACACTGACGTCATCCTTACAGATCCCTGTGCAGGCTCTTGGTGATCTTCAGAGCCCCAGTCTCCCAGGCCCAGCTGACTCTGTCGTGTTCCTTGTTCATGGGCAATGGTGGTGGCCCTGGGGGCCAGAGCTGGAAGGGGCAGTGGTAGGACTCCGGGTTGTCTGCTTGGTATCACACTTCAGAGCATCTGTTGACTTGAGTATGTGTGTGTGAGTGTCTGTGTGTGTGTGAATATTCCCAATGTGTTTGGGGGACCCACGTGTGCCTTCTGTCCCATTTCTTCCCTTAAATGGAAAGAATACACTTTGTTTTGGTTTTGAAAGAAGGCCGTTTTGGACCCTTGAGAGGATTTTTTTTCTCCTCCTTTTTTTGTATAGAAAAATAGGGAGAGAATCCACCCCCATAGATGCTGAGCACTTTAACTTGAAGATTCATGCAAGATTTCCTTGGGGGTGGTGCAGATAATGTGGTTTGCTACAAAAAGTCTCCTATGTCCTTTTTTTTTTTTTTTTTTTAAGTATGAGGTTAATATTAAACATGCTGCCATGTGCTATTTTAAACAAAAGGTGTTGGGAATTTGCTTTAGAGTTCTGTCCTTGATTGGTATGAGGGGGGAAGTGCTTCTCCCTACAAAATTTGAATTCTTTTCTAAAAGACTTTCATTCCTTCCAAGGATTAACTATAATGCCTTACATTTGATAGGTGCTTTGTGGATTTCATAGCACTCCCAGGTACATTATCTTGTTGAACCTTCACAATGACCTTGTGAGGGAGGTAGGACAGATACCACTGTTCCCAGATCACATCTGAAGAAACCTGAAGCCCAGGAAGGTAAGGGGAGGGGGCTGAGGTCACACAGCTGTGGCTAGAAGTGGGTCTTGGCTTTTCTGTGTACTAGCACACATACCTTCCTGTTTTGGTAGTCTTAAGTTAGGGGAATCATAGTTGCATTTGCATCAGTAATAGTGTTGCATATTCTTTAGGTGCACTGAGTTGGTTCCAATTCACAGGAATCCCAAATGCAGTAGGATGAAACAGTGCGCGGTCCTGCACCAACCTCACAGTCTCTGCTGGGCTTGAGCCTCTCATCGCAGCTACTGGGTCAGTCCATGTAGTTGAGGGTCTCCTCCTCTTTCACTTATCCTGTACTTTACCAAGCATGACATCCTTCTCCAGGGACCGGTCCCTTCTGACAACATGACCAAAGTGCGAGAGATGAAGTCTGGCCATTCTCGCTTCTAAGGAGCATTCTGGCTGTACTTCCTCCAAGACAGGTTTGTTCGTTCTTCTAGCAGTCCATGGTACATTCAGTATTCTTCATCAACATCATAAGTCAAAGGCATCAGTTCTTCGGTGGTCTTCTTTCTTGTAGGTTCAGTTACATCTTCCAGCTGTCACAAATGGACTCTCAAAAGTCTCCAAAGGAAACTGTCCTCATTACAGGAGGAGGTGGCTATGTTGGTTTCCGGTCAGTATATCTGAAATATATGCCCAAAGAGGTTTTTCACTGATAGTCCCTGGAGAAACTGTAGCTTTCTACTCAGACATTAGTACAACCCTGACTTGCATTTGCTTGTGTAGTGATAAACCAGCAGTAAACTGTGTAACATACCACTTGGACATTGAAATTGAGAACTGTAGCTTTATTCTGCTTTTTAGGAATTTTTAGAAAAAATCTTTCTAAGGTCATTAAGTTGGGGATGGGAGTGATTAGTCACATTACCCAAACCAATTTAAACCAATGGCTCTTCTTTCCTAGTTACGTTATTATTCATAAATATTTCAGAGAATGGGTGGTGGATAGAGAAAAAAAAAGTAATAATGCAGACCCCAGTCTCTCTGAAGAAAAAGCCTCTCTAATTATAATTTAAGTAGAAACAAGCAGTTTTATTTTCAAATAATTTGAATGGCAAATGACATGGTGGTGGTGGTGCCATTGAGTCAGTTTCAGCTCATAGAGACCCTGTGTGCCCCAGAAGGAAACACTGCCTGGTCCTGTGCCATCCTCACAGTTGCTGACGTATTTGAGCCCATTGTTGCAGCCACTGCGTCAACCCACCTTGTTGAAGGTCTTCGTCTTTTTCTCTGACCCTCCGCTTTACCAAGCATGGTGTCCTTCTCTAGAGACTGAGCCCTAGATACATGTCCAAAGTACGAGAGACAAAGTCTCATCATCCTCGCTTCTCAGGAGCGTTACGGCTGAACCTCTTCTAAGACATGGTTGTTCGTTCTTCTGGCAGTCCATGGTATTCTTTGCACAAATTACATAAGACTAAGTGCATTGACCCATGTCACTTTAGTTTTGTGTATTTCACCCTACGTTAATTATATTTCAATAAAATATATTTTAAAAAAATTATATAAGACTTAGAAAATGACGATGTAAAGGGAGGGCCTCCGGATAAGCCAAGAAGACTGAGATCAGTCCCTTCTCTCCCCAGTTGGTGTCAAAGTCAAGGCACAATTGATCTAGCTTTCACTTTGTCTCATTTCAGCCTAGGCTGTGCTCTCAACCAGAAGGGAGTCCATGTGATTCTGTTTGACATCAGCAGCCCCATTCAGAGCATCCCAGAAGGAATCAAGTTTGTCCATGGAGACATTCGCCATCTCTCTGACATCGAGAAAGCCTTCCAGGGTGCAGATGTCACCTGTGTATTTCACATTGCCTCTTATGGTATGTCGGGGCGGGAGCAGCTGAACCGGAACCTGATCGAAGCAGTCAACGTTGGGGGCACAGACAACATCCTCCAGGCCTGCAGGCGGAGGGGGGTGCCAAGGTTAGTGTATACCAGCACTTTCAATGTTGTCTTTGGAGGGCAAGCCATCAGAAACGGGGATGAGTCTCTGCCTTACCTGCCCCTTCATCTCCACCCTGATCATTACTCTCGGACCAAGTCGATCGCGGAGAAGAAGGTGCTGGAGGCAAATGGCACAGCCCTAGAAGGGAGCAGCGGCATCCTGAGAACCTGTGCCCTGAGACCAGCTGGCATCTATGGGCCTGGAGAACAGAGGCACCTTCCCAGGATTGTGAGCTACATTGAGAGGGGGTTGTTCAAGTTTGTGTATGGGGACCCCAGGAGCCTGGTTGAATTTGTCCATGTGAATAACTTAGTGCAGGCTCACATTCTGGCCTCAGAGGCCCTGAAAGCTGACAAGGGCCATGTCGCCTCAGGGCAGCCCTACTTCATCTCAGATGGCAGGCCCGTGAACAATTTTGAGTTCTTCCGGCCTTTGGTTGAGGGCCTGGGCTATACATTCCCGTCCATCCGCCTGCCATTAACCCTCATCTATGGCCTGGCTTTCCTAACAGAGATGGCCCACTTCATTTTGAGTTGGCTGTACAACTTCCAGCCCTTTCTCACCCGCGCAGAAGTTTACAAAACTGGCATCACGCATTACTTTAGTCTAGAGAAGGCCAGGAGAGAGCTGGGTTATAAGGCTCAGCTGTTTAGCCTCCAGGAAGTAGTAGAATGGTTTAAAGCCCACGGTCATGGCCGACATCCCGAGAGTTGTGACTCAGGGTGTCTTGTTTGGGATGGGCTGCTGGTCTTCATCCTGGTCACGGCCACTCTCACGTGGCTCCCTCCGTCTGTGGTTCTGTCTGTGTGAAGGAGGAGCCCAAGATGAGTCACTGATCACACTTGCAGAGATGGTTCCCACGAGGCACAGGGTGATAGGTATATGGTGTGATGTCTGGTGCTGGTACTTGACTCTTCAAATCATTGCTGAAGAATAAATTCTTGGATTACATCTTCATTTCTTACCTCCTTACACTAGTGTCTGATGTGAGAAAAACAAAGCCAAGGCAAGTTTGAAATGTAGTTTCTTATGTCCTTCTATTTTAAAGGGCACAGTGGAGGTCATAGAGCTAGGCTTACGTTGGAAATGTCTTACTTGAATTTCTCAGAAGCTAAAGGTGCACTTATTTCCATTCCAGACAGTATGCACACACTTAAAATGCACTAAAAGGCCTACTGATGCAGGATCGTACGGCAAAATGCCAATAGGCTTGGTAACGTGGGGGACCAGAGTCAGTACCTGACTCACCCTCTGGGGAGGTGAGGCTTTTGCAGGAGAGCCATTAGCTGTTGAAAGCATAAGCTTTAGGTAAAGCTGTTCACTTTGTGTTGCAAGTGCAATTATGTCTGTGACCAGATGGTGCTGTGTGATGTTAAAACGAATAGACCTGCATCCTACGTCATAGAATTCTTATGAGGAATAAACTAGACAAAGGATACAAAGTGCCATTCAACACACATGAGCCGTTGTTTTTATCAGTATAGTTATTACACATCCAAGATATTCCCGTCGACGGCTGCTGAATGCCTTGGTGGCATGCCTGCGGAGCCTGCAATGAGTGTTTAGATATACTCGGTGTCAGGTTTTGGCCTCTGAGGATGGATTAAAGTTTAGGAAAAATCTGATCATTAAAGCTCAGGCTCAGTGATGCCATCTTTCACCAAAAAGTGCAGCACTGCAACATGCTGAGGAGGATGGATTGCCGCAGAAGGTCATTGGAATTATGCTGAGAGCAGTTGGACAAGTGAACACGAGATGAACCGTCCCTGGTGAATATTGCCTGGATGTCTGGGAAGGAGCACTGACCACGAGCTCAGAAGACCTGCGTTAGCCACAGATAGTTTGTGTGGCCTTAATCAAGGAACAACGGAAGTCTCTCTAGACCTCAGTTGCCTCATTTGGGAATTGGAAATGACTCTCTTTGCCCTTTCTATCAATGTACCTCATGAGATTTGTCGTGAGCATGCAATACAATGTGGTGAAAGTACGTTTAATATATAAAGTGCAACCTAAATATGAGTTGGTGGTAGTGATTGTTTCCAGACAAATATTGTTGGAGTCTTTTGTATCATAAATAAACTTTACACCAGGCTTAACTTGTGGGAGCACCTACAGTGTCTTGGGCACTCGGGGGGCTGTAGGGCAGGTGACTCTACTTTCAGGCTGATGATGACCTGGCATGTCCATAGGAGAAGGTTGCTGATACATCACATGACTGCAGTACCCCATGTCCCCATTGCCACTGAGAAATCACAGACTTTGAGAAGAAATATTTAACGAAGGTCCTACAGAAGAATTTTACATAATTCTCAGTATTCTTAACTGAGGAGACTGAGCATAACGTTTTCTCCACAAGCCAGATGCCTGAATGAAATTCGGGGTCTGTGTGCAGGCATTGTCGTCATCTTGGTGTCAGACATTGTACCATTCCACAGGATTGACACGATGGTTCACTCCCTCCTCAAAACACACAGGCATCTCTCCCTCACAGATACTGCAGGATCGGCTGCAGACCAAGAAAGCAGGTATCGTAGTAAAGCAAGTCACAAGAAGTTTTTGGTTTTCCGGTGCATATAAGAGTCATGTTTACACTATACTGTAGTTGTAAGTGTGCTATAGCATGATGAGAAAATGTGAAATAGTGTGAGAATTACCAAGATGTGACAAGGACAAAGTTAGACACATGCTGTTGGAAAAATAATCTCAGCAGTAGGCTTTCTTGACCCAGGTTTGCCACAAAACTTCGATTTGTACAAAGTGCAGTATCTGCGAAGTACGATAAAGTGAAGTGCGATAAACGAGGCATGCACGGTCCATTTACTTTCCATGACTCATGTTCTTCTGGTCTTTCTCCTTGTATTATCTGTTGGGATGTGCCAAATTACCTCAAACCATGTTTCCTTAAAACAAACTACATTAACTCATACTTTCTGTGGGTCAGGAAGTAAGTACAGCTTGCCTGGGTCCTTCTTGCATAGTGTTTCGTCAAGGTCAAATGACGTTGGCCAGGTCCACAGTCATGTGAGAGCTTGACTGAAGCTGGAGGACCTACTTCCAGGACGACTCATCCATGTGACTGTTGGCAGCAGCCTCACTTCCCCACCATGTGGCATCTCTGCAGGACTGCTTGAATGTCCTCCTGACACGGAACAAGTCGTCCAAGGGAGCAAGGTGGAAGCTGCCCACCATAGGCAGCCCTCTGTGTCATCCTTCCATTTCCATGAAAAGTAGCCCGTGTTTGCACCTGCATAGTTGCTGGCAGAATTTGGGAAATTCGGCCCCTTTTCACATTATACTCGTAACTGTTTCAGTCCCTAGGAGGCAGTGTTACCGCCAGTATAATTAGTTTTAAAACTTGGTGTGTCACCTATGATTATTACTGCAATTCATTCCATTAGACTAAAGTCATACCCATAAATCTTTGAGATAAGCCTTCCTCGACCTTGAACTTCTGCTGAGACTGCTGAGGGACAGTACTCTTATGTTTCTTAGAGTCTTATTTGGTTTTTAGATCTTTTTCACGTTTTAAAAGATTTTTTTTTTTTTTTTTTTTAGGATTTGGGTGAAGATTTACAGAGTAAATTCACTTTTCATACAGCAGTTCACATATACTTTGTCTCAT